TGTGCGTGGGGGGGGGGGCGCGATACGAGGCCGCCTTCGGCTAATTATAAGCCCTCGCTTTGAGGTTTGAGCGTTCGGGGGCCGTTCGGCAATTTCCGGAAAAAAAAACGACACGGTGCCAGTCGTGATCGGGGCCGTTTCGGCTCCGCTCGGGGTATGTATTGGGAGCCTCTTCCGTTGTCGGAAATTGCCGAACGGGCTGGATAGTCGATGACGGCTGCGTCTTTTTCTCCGGAAATGGCCGAGCAGGTTCCGAGCGCCGTTGTTGTCTGCTTCGGCAAATTCCGGAAATTGCCGAAGCGAGTCGAATGGGCTTCCATTCCCGTTTCGGCTTTTTCCGGCGGCTGTCGAAGCGGATAAGCTCGACGACGACGGCTCCTTCGGCTCATTTCGGAGACGGCCATTACTGACGGAGTTGATGACTTTTTATTACGTGATAAAAACACGTAGGGGCGTTATACAGAACTGCTGCCCCTTTGGAGATATTTAAGCTCCAGATTCAAGGCTTTTTTTTTTTTTTTTTTAAAACGAAAACCTCGGAAGCGAGCCTGGGCTGGAGAAGGAGGGCGCTAGCACTACGTGGAGCTGAATTTCAAATTACGTAACAGTTAAGGCAGCCATTACTGATCAGTTGTACGGTACTCCCAAGCAGGAATACGTAAACCATGAAGAATATGGTACGTGAAAAGGGAAAATTCAGTTTGCTTTTAAGGAGGGTGGCACCTTTGGTTATGCGTACCGAGTGAATTTTTCCGGGTCCGGGCGTTACGAGTGGGGTTGAGCCCCTGTCAGCGCAGGTCTGGGTGCCGCTGTTGGCTCCCGGTCGGTGCGCTGCGAGTAGGGAGTTGGATGTCTTTCCGCGGAGGAAGCGTTAGCGGGGAGGAAGGTTCTGGAAGCGGCGGTTGGGGCTGGTGCGCAGCCGAGAGAGGAGGCGGAAGCTGCGGTAGCCGTGCATGGCGGGTGGCGAGTTCCTAAATCACTTGACGTACCCGTTAGCCGAGCTGCCGTTAAGGTGGCGCTGGAGGGGGACACACGGCTATGGAGGTCAGTCAGTGCGCGGTCCGGCGAGTCGCCTTTGCCCTGCGACCGGCCGGGGTGGCGCTGCTAGTAATGGCGGTAGCGAGGGGGAGGGGTAAAATGGCGGCGCCGAGATTCGGTTGTGCGTGAGGCTGTGAGGATCACTGCGAGGATGAGAAAGCGGGTAAGGCGGGAGGGCAGCTGTAGTCGTCTAATACTAGTCGTCTAATATCTGCGGGGGCGGAAAACAGCGCTTGCAAGCTCTTCTGGTACCGTGTGTGTAGGTGCACGCTAGAAGCGGTTTGCAGCACTTGGTTCCTGTTTAGCCCGAGGACCCGGGTGTTATTTATCTTTTTTATTTTATTTTTTTTTTCCTCATCTGGGGCCGGTGCTTCCAGAAGTTCTTCCTTCCCGCTGCATCGCTGTCCCCGGAGGCGATGGCTGCTTCTGGGCGCCATTTTCCCCTTCTAGCTGCGGGGGCCCCTGTTTTCCTGATATCCGCCACATGGCGGAGCCGGCACGGTAACCGCTTCACTCCTGATAACATAAGGCTGCGGGGAAGGGGGAGAACCGGGCTGCTGGATTGCAAAGCCCTGTAGAACGTATAGGGGCTAATGGGGCGCTTGGAGAGGGAGGGGAGAGCGAGCAGTGTCTTTCTAGTTTGGGACCGGTAAACCCAGCTTTTTATTACTTGGCAGGCCTAGCCGTAGTAGTTCAGAGATCCCACTTGCTTGTTTCTGTTAACCATTTTTGTTACTCGGGTTCTGATTCTGCACAAGTCTGTGGTCAGCTTGGAGTATTTGTGCACATATTATTGCTGTAAGAAACACATCTCCTTGCTCTGATGATGAATCTTCCAGTAAAGGCTGCGCATTTTCCAGTCCTTTGAAATGCTGCTTTAAGCCTGTGAAGGAAGGCTTAAAGTAAGCACTAATGAAGAGTCTACAGGGTTCATAAAGATTTCTTCTCACACTCCGTTCCTGCCACAGAGTGTACTATGGAAATCTTGAAAGAGATTTTTCTTCCAGCTTTTATATTGTGGGCCTCGGTGGGGGTGGATTGGGGGTGTGTGCATTTTTACCAAATGAGGATTTTCATCAAGATTCTGAGAGGGACTGGAGTGATAGTGATTTTTATCATAC